GCTCCATTTGTGTCTAATTTAAGTGATCAGTGCTCCTGATTCATATCTAAGAGATCCCAGGTTCAGTCTCAGCTCAAAGACTGGCTATCATGAGTGTGACATTCTCTGAGTAGTTGGTTAAAATATTATTAGCAGAAGAGAGACACATACAGATATAAAAACATTATGATACCAAACGATTCAAAATACACAACTCACAAATCTTTTCTCATCCAGAATGCAAAATATGAAGACAACTACATATTGGCTTCTGAGTCATATGGCAATAACTGATTAACCATAGTAGACATGCATGTGGTAACAGATTATAGAGACAGACATCCCAAGCAACACTTCTGGGCACTCTCATTGAGCCCATTCTTGGGTGGTTAGTAGCATGAGTGCAGTGAAACATGCATATTAAACAGACTGAAGTGTTAAAAAGTATGCAGTTCAGAGTATGTATTGGTAAATGTGATTGTATAAAAGCCTGTATTGGTATTCTGGTCTTCTGAACATCGAAGTTCATGTATTCATCACTGTCTATGGCTTAACAGTATTCCAGGAAATCAGTATTGAAGCTTCCAAAATAATGCAGTTTATTTTTTAAATAATTTATATGGATCTCAACTGGGGAAAATTTAGAAAAGACTGGACCATGAACCTTCTCTCTACCATAAATACTTAAGAAATTTCTTTGAATGAAGCTTGAGGCAGCATGTGCAAGTACATGTACATACAAACACACAGGGATTTTGCCATTAAAAATTAAAATTCTTCGAAACAACATATGGAGGCACTACTTTTACAGGTGAGACAATCAACCCAACAAAATGCAAGTTCAGTATATTTTATAGCAATACTAATAATTACAGAAAGAAAAATAATCCTTACGGGATCTACAGCTCTTGCACACTGTATAGAGATGGACCTTCCAAATGACAGACAAACTGTACATTTAACAGATACAGAAGCACATATTGACTTGACTCATTCCACGTTTTATTACTTACCAACAGAGCTTCAACAAAATGTCTCAGCTTCTTGTCCATAAGAGAAATACAATCCTGGACCTCTGTCAGTAACCGCATCAAGTCATCATCCTAAAGTAAGACATTCAAAATGATTCAGCAACCTGTCCACAATATACTACCAGACCTCCATTTGGAAATGCGTCAACTGACAGTTCCAATATTAAATAAATGAAAAATTTGATAATTCCTTAATCTCCTACACATGGGAAAACTGCTTATATTTTCAACTTCTATTACACAGGTGTTTAAAAATCTGCTTGTTATTCACATAAACAGTTTAATTGACTGCTGGATATGTAACCTATACTTCATTATTCATTTGTTATCATAACTATTAATTTGATTTGTCTTCCACACATGTCTGGCATCACATTTCTACTATTCTCCCATTCAAATACCAAAAACATTTATCTATTCATCATTTTCCTTTAATCACTCTCTCTTTCATGGACATGTATTTGTATATCTGCTATAGAAATGTACATATAAATGCACATTTTTATTTGACTGGTTTCTAATTAACCCCAGACATGGTGCATGATGATCTTTCTTGGCTTCTGCCAACCCTAGGGCAAAATCCATAACCTCCAGTTAGAAGGTGATTGCAAAGATAATTACCAACACAGGGGACCTACAGCTTGGCTTCAAATGATGGTGGAGGACCAGCATATATCACTTACCCAAAGATCCGGTTATCTCTAGCAGAGGTGAAGCCTCAGACTGTGTACATACACCTCCTCATTCACGAACCCTACATGTTCAAATTACACATACTAAAATTTGCTGACATTTCCGTCAGCAAAGTTGGAGATATCTCCGAATAATCTAATAACCACAAGTTCGATTTTTCTTTCCTGTACTACCTGAAAATACAGCCCTTGAAAAGTTTGATCACAAGGAAAAAGTAAGTGAACTTCAAATACCAACATATACTATAAACTACAACAACTGAATTATGTGAGCATACCACTCTAAAAAACTGCATCAAGCATTCATACATCTTTATATACCCACCTGGATATCTCCATCTCTAATTGTAAAAATCAATTCTTCATAAGATTTTACATTTTCTCTGTCAATAAAATCCAGTAAAACTGTTTTAAGGCTTTCTGGCAGCCGGAACCGAACACGCTGTTCTCTATTTCCATTTCGAATTCCTGGACTCCTCAAAATTGAGGAAAGACCAGATACAGAAGCAGTGACCACCGACATAAGTGTTATTTGCACAACGAAGAATGGTGCTGATATAACATAGGAATTATGTTGCCAACAACAGAAGCATTACACAAAGTGTAACACAGTACACACAATTACAATAATAATTCCTGGCGCAATAAATTATATTTATACCAAGTCTTCTCTACATGTGACCACCGCAACTCCATTATGCCACATCCATACATGGTACAAGAAATTTCGGTTCGTATTATCTGTGCTTTCGGCATACATATTCCACTTGCTATTAACCACAGATTTTAAAAAACCGATCCTGGCACGTCTGTGACTAGGTACAAGCCAAAGTTAGTCAAAATACGACGATATTTATAAATTCGTACGCTGGAATTTGGAACTACTGATATTTCCTACAACGCTTGTTAATTTCGGCATGGCTTTAGAAGAAATTGAGCTAATAAAACTAAGTGTAGTATGTATCAAGAAGCAATTTTTATGTGCCTCTTCAGTTAAGACAATACATTGGCAGGTGATTGACATACTTCCTTTATTTGTTTAATGCTGCCTGTAGCTCGAAATATGTAGTATCGATAGGGTGATTAACAAATGAATTGGAAAGGATGCCGGATAAAGCGATCGTGACATCATTTATGGTATTTACCTAGTGGGACAAAGGAAAAACGACAAAGATATCAGTCTTGATGGCCGGTTTACAGGCCGAGATTTTAACACGGGACCACCCAAATACGAAACACGAATGCTATACACTCCGCCGCGACTTCCTCATCCAAACTTCATTTGGCAATGATATCCGATTTTGTTTGCCCAGTTACTTAAGAACTAGAATTAATTTATATTCCGTAGGTTTTTCATTTGACATTTCAATGATGCAGAGTGTGGCATATTACAAACATGTCAAGTCTACCTAACACAAATACAAATAAAAATGTATGATACATAATTGGTTATTACCGCTAACTTACTAACTAAATAACTCCCTGTAGCAGAACCCACCAACGGAAACAATTCTGAGCCATCACCATTCATTTACAATCCTCATTATTACAACTACACGTTATACATACATTAAATTATACTGGGCAAGGTAATTATATCAAAGAAGTATGACCTCTTAAATATTTGCAATACTTGGGAATTTCTAATCATGTCAGTTCTACCATGGAGAAGGGACTAAATACCGGGTTAATAGTTCATAAGTAAATGGCACTGTTAGTTTTTCTCAGAAAATAAAGATTGACACTTAGCAAATTTAAATTATACATATCAATTTCATTGCACTGAACCAATAAAATACACTGGGCACTGAATAACTATAATTAAATCTTCAGAACATTTTATAACATCCTAGGAAGTATGTACTGTTAAGTTCATGGAATTTAAAGTTTTAAGTAAATGGTAACTATTTTTAAGGTTAGCAGAAGAGAAGAATATGTTGTGATGTCTTGCACATAGTGTGTTCTTGCCTTTCTCTCTTGCTATGTTGAACATTAGATCCAGTAACTGTCCAGGAATGCAACACACCACATATGGTCATGGTTATTTCTTGTTGTCTGTGCAGAGTGACTTGCTACATGAACTGTGCAGCAGAAGTAACAACAGCATGTTAGCACAGAAGTTGCTGCTGGAGAATACAGTGAACCATCCACTCGTGAAGAAATTCCCATTGAAGTTGTCTTACCAACTTGCATTTCTCAAGGACATCATCTCTAAAGTATTTGTTATAGTTTGTGCTTAAATAATAGTCCATTTTTAATATTCCCCTTCAGTCTCCTAGTATGCTTTGTTACAAATTAATAACATTTAATAATACATATCAAATCAAGGATGAGATTGGCAGAGCATGTAGTACACTTGGAAGAGATAAGAAATGCCAACAAAATTTATTTTAAAAACCCTGAAGGAAGAGACCACTTGGTTGACCTAGGGGTAGATAATATTAAAATGTATCTTAGGGAAATAGAGATCAGTGGTGGCCTCTTGTGTACATGGTAATGAACTATGGGTTTCATAAGAGGCAGTAAATTTTGTGACCAGCTTTTCTAGGAGGATTCTGCTTCACGAAGCATCATCAGTAGGCCTACTGTATTTACTAGATCCCACCTATCTACAGAATTTAAATGGACATACATTTCCTTGTTTATTCGCCTTGTCTGACTGAAGTGAATTGTTCCAGTTGGAAAGACATGGACAAGAAGTTCTGGATGAACTGTATGCTGCATACTGTCATCTTCTGAGTGTTCCCAACATTGACTCTGGCACTCACTACAGGCACTTTGCGATAGATGACTGTGGAACTATTACTCTCAGGGAGAGCAGCAAGCTCATATCTCAGGGAACTACAGGGCTCTGTAGTTGGCAGGTACTATAAACCATCTTCTAGCAATATGAATTAAAAAGTTAACATCTTCAATCAAGTACTGGGTCAAAGGTCAGCTATAACAGTATGTTGGCAGGTCAGGCCTACTGCATACCTTAGGTACTGACAGACAAGTATGGTGCATCAGTAATGGATGATAATTGGAAGGGTAAAACTGCAGTACTGAGGAAACCTATCCTAGTGCCAGAATGTCCACTGCGTATCCCACGTTGGATTGGGCCTTTGTAGTGAGACAGTAGACTGTTGGAACTAGACACAGGCATCATCTTAAAACAAGACATGGCCACTTATATCCCAAATTCTTCTCTCCTCAATTTTCATGATGATCTTCTCATTTCATTCAATGCTATGTGACTTCTGCAGTTGAAACAGCATTCTTAAATAGCCCAAGAATCGGTCATCAGCATAGTATAGGAAGTGATGTAGGCAGAAACCTAATTGACAGGCTTCACTTACACTGCGCTGTGTTTTGGATGTAATTTTACAGGTTATGCTTAATGGTGCTTGGTAACTATGATTTGCTTCACTAAAGTTGTGATCAGGTGCTGGCTGTGCAGGATTATGTCAGACTGTGCTGATAACCATCCAGGTTTTGCTTCCTTTCCTTCAATGTTATAGGCTGCATTGGCTCTGGCAGACTGGTGCCTGTGTAATTGCAAATTCCTTCAAAACAGACATGTACTGGAGCTGGGATCAGGGGTTGGTCTCACAGGACTGTGTGTCAGTCTGCACTGCAAGCCATCCACTTACTGGTTTTCTGACTGCCACCCTGCAGTACTGTGCTTGCTGCAATCCAACATCTTGCTGAATGTAACAGGGCAGAATGCCTATGTTCCTGGGGACAGTTATGAAGAGCATGCAGCTGTCAGACACACACATAGTGATGACAGAAATGTTACACCGTCAGCGTGTGAAGGCCATAAACAAACTGAACTGTGTGACAGACGTCAAGTGTTGCTGAGGACAAGGTGTAATAATACTGAAACTAGGGTGTTGAACCTCCCTTGGGAAACTGTTCCCATGAGTAATATTGTGACACAGATATCTCCAGAGGTTGTTCTAGCTGCAGGTTTGTCAGTTATATTGTTCACAGGCTTATATCCATTCAACTGTTACAGTATTGTAAGTGCATCCTCAAACTTCATATGGTGCTACAACTTGTATAATTTGTGCCATATAGTTTAATGTTATTGAATCTCTGTTTGCATTTTTAATCAAATGTTCTGCAGGTAAAAATATGGTGGATTTCAGATGTGGTATATGATGTAAGTCTGTTCCCTGTGCTGTGTCAAGCATTCTGCCATTTGCTCTTCAAGAGGCCTTGTATTTTACTTCTGGCTTGCACAGTTCGTAACAAGGAGACACTGGATGCATTCATGCAACTTTTGAGTAAGTATTGCTCCATCACCATCCTGCAGATCTTTACTGAAAAATAACATTCTCTTCATGCAATGTTTGGTGCGAAGCTTGTAGTTTCTTATCTGTTGCAGAAAAGGCTGGTTTGGAAGCTGCTGAAGAGGACCTGCCACCCCCCACATTTTTGTATTATTCCACAGATGTGCCAGTGAAGTTATACAGAGTGTCTGCAAACACATGAGGGCAAGACTACTACAGATGTATTGCCCTACTGGAATGGGCTGTTTTGCTCTATTCAGACAGACTACAGAACAGTTCTGTTCAACACTGTTATGGTACAAAATGCTGAATCATGTAATGGTGCTGTTCAATATACCCCTGAAAATGTTTACCATCTTAATAATATGCTTAGCCTATCTCAGATGACTAAGTTTGATTATATTGACAGTTCTCAGATGATTAAACTCTGAATATATCTCATCATTATGTCCTTTAAACTGTTGATCATTCTCGGTCTGCACAGATCCATATAAATGGTTAGATAGCAGATATTGCCATACTGACTTGTGAATCTATCAGAGGCTTGTATGTAAGAAGTACTTTTTATAGAAGGCCTATTGAGTGGGCCTCACATACCATTAGCCATTTCCTTTTTCCTGAAGACAGAGTTCCAGATTATTGATGGTGTCCAAGAATATACTGAGATGAAAATGTGTGATCAGATGAAACTATATACTTATGTGACTAATTCTAAAGGCCTTGATAAACTGTCAGTCAGATTAATGAGAAATCTCTGTATTTTACAGAACTGAAACATTGATACCCATGTTCAACATAACCCACCACTGAACCTATCCTGAGTCAGCTGAATCAAATGTCTCCTAGTATACTTGATATCATATATATAAAACTCAATCTTTAATGCTAAAATCAGGAAACAAACTGTTTTCTAAACCTTAAGCAATGGACTCTTGATGTCTGTGGAATTCTCAATTTGCTGAAGACACTGGTATCTATCCACAAGTCCACATGCCATTACGACCTAGAAGACCAACATGAACAGGTAACAGGATATTGTACCAGGTGTAGTCTGTGTCGATTAACATAAGACAATATGGTATGAGTGCTGTATTTTTAACAAGTCACAGTACTAGAGGGCTAAGAGAACCTTGTGTTTTGAGACGCACGAAGTGTTTGGCTTTTGTTTGTAACAACCACTTTCAGTCGAACTGGTTGTCTGAATGTACTCTGCAATTCTTGCTCTGCTTCAAGAGCTATTGTCCGAATCCTTAGTCCACGAGACCCCACTACCAATCTCTCAAGTCGAATTGATGGGCATCCTACAAGTACCACTGTTGATATGGTTCCTGAAATTCAGTCAGATATAGACCAACTTCAAAGGACTGACATCAAGCAAGCAAAGAGAAGTTCAAACACTACACTATGGACACTATCACAGCACTATTAACTTTTATTGATCATGCATTGTGGCTTTCAATTTCTTACAGAAATTATTTTTTTATTCAGTTAAACAATAATAAAGGGTGATGGTTTCCCAGTGCACAGCACCATGCTGTGGCTATGTATATGGATTGGAAATAAAGCTTAAGTGCTTGTAGGCTTCACACACACAGTGGAAATGAGTGGTTAGCTTCAAGCTCCAGCTGTTTTACCTACAGGGATGAAGCCTGCAGTAACTATGGACAGGGGGCTGTGTACGCTTCACGTTTGCTTGGACATACTGGTGCTTAAGCTACACAGCTCAAATTGAAAAAAGAAAGTAACTGACATAAAAAGATAAAATCCATTGTCACTTATCAGACTTGATCAGATACCAAATTTAACTGAAATCCAAGGTGGTAATGCCAACTATTGTGTTCAGTTGATAAGGAATGACTTGAATATAACATGCTTGTACATACCATCCTTTCCAACAACAAAGTATTCTATAGTTGTGGTGAGATTATAGGGAATCTCCTGAGGCAAATGGTCCAATAGCTTCGAGCGTACGGTATTTACTATTATAGTTTCTGAAGGCTGATCTGTGAACTTAGTCACTGGGAACAGCCATGGTGAGAATTCTGATATATGAAGCAAGTAATCCTGCAATCAAACCATAACACATCTTGAGCCACTGTAACTGTAACTTCAAACAATCATATACTGGTACAACATTTTATATAAAAGAAAAGTACTTGTATAAGAGACGGAGTATAGCTCCTACTCATTCCTAATCTCGGCACTAGATAGGGGTGAGTGGTCAGCGTCACGCCCCAGCTGCACTTTACCCCCGAGAAAGGACCCCAGTACCCACTGGATAGGGAAAAATCCTCTGCCCCCCGCCAAGGATCAAAACCTGGTCATCCAGTCCATAGCCAGTCACTATACTGACTGAGCTACCCCAGCTCCTTGAATGTGCCTGATTGCTAGGTCTAAAACCAAAATGAATGTTTCCAATATGGTAATTACCTTGATATCATTTATGCCATCACCCAAGAGGGCTGACACCATAAAGACTTCTGTGAAGTGGGACCATCCCCTCTCATTTAGAACCTTCCTTTGGACCTGCAGTTCTGAGAGTTTGTGGGAGTCCACTTCATCCATTACTGGATAATTATGGTTCTTGTCTGATATCTGATGATCTACAAATTCTGCATAATCTGTTACCGATGATGGCTTATGTCCAGAAATCTTTGATTGTCCTGCCAAGGAATTGTTTGTGAGAAGACGGATAACATCCAGCAGTTTCCTCTTGCTTTTCAATGCATCTATCTGTAACTCAAAAATTCCATCAGTAATAACACAAATCTAATGAGTTAGAACAGTCAAAGAAACACAATACAGAATAAGATTAGTGAAAAGGTGTATACCAGTCTGGAGTACACACACACACTCAAAATGTGTTCCTTGTAACTCTGCATATGGCACCTCAATGGTCTTGATGTCTTATTGCAAATACAAATCTATTTATTACAAATTTGAAACTGACTACTATAAAGATAATGAAACTACATGAATGGCAATGCATAAAGAAATAAATTATTTCCTTGTCTTTTGTTGTATTGGTTCACCAGTTCATTGTGTGATGACATATTTCTGAGAAAATCAGGAAGTCCAACTTGCATTTCACACAAAGTACTGGTTATATTTTACTAATATAAACCAAAATTAAATTTCTCAACAACTTTTACTGTACAGTCCCTATACCAAAGTGCTTCAAAATCCATCAAGTAGGTATGGAGATGATTCATGTGAATGGACACTTGATGCAAAGAACACACAAATAAGTCAAGAATTTGAAAGAGAAAGCTGTGCTACTTTTATTTAATTTTCTACATATTCATCTTCTCCTTTTAAATGTTTTGTCATTTTACTTGACCTTCAAGTAAAGTGACAAATCTGACAGACAAGACATCTTGAAGAGTCATTTATTTGTATCACAGAAAAGGTTGTAAAGAGTTATATAAAGCTGGGTCCACAAGTGTGCATTCTTCTGTAACAGTGAATGCACAAGTGTGGACCTGGCTTAAGATGTGAGAATGGTTGAGATTGCTGGAGATGACCACTACCTTGCTGATGATTTATAATAATCCTTTGTACCTCCTTTTATGCCATACAACTTCAGTAGCTGATATAGCATTAATAAACACAGAGGCACATGCACATGATATAGACATACCTTGTTAAGTATAAGAAAAGAACGCTTCATAGGATATAGGTACAGCAGACGTAACACTTTTGGATCAAGCCTGTCTCGTGCCCAAGTGTTTGATACATCATGTACAACTCCTATGATGTCTGCTTCTAACATGGCTATCTCACTATCAGAACGAAATGAATGTTCAAGATGGTGCCTATGGAAATAAAGTATGTTCGTTAAGACTAAAAACAAAGTTATTTACTTTTAATAACTGACCTCAAGTGAAGCACGAGTCCCCATGGTATACTACTACATTAACTGTCTGTTGATGTTGGGTTTCTGGTTTGTAACAATGTGGACTGACAGGTAGATTCCAACATTTGGGAACATTTCTCAAGTCACTTCAGCTTTAATGATGGAGGAAATTCCTTTGAAATGTTGGTATATACCTGTAGGTCCAATGACATTATAAACCAGAAAACCAATATCAACATTTTCATCACCATGAGACACCAAATCACACCTTCACTGGCATTTGTATAGTGTAAACATGCCACTAACATTTTTAAATTCACTGTCCTAACCCAATGATAGATGTGAAATATCACCAGATGAAGCTGAAGTAGTTTAACTATTAGACAAGATAAATTCTGCAATACTTTTTGGAAATTATATTGAAATATCTGAATTCATTGAATGTAGGTACTTGTATGAACAAAACCTAATACAACGCTACTTGGTTAATAATTATGTCTTAATTGCATTGATTATACTGTATAATGTTAAACTGGAGGATGACTGTAAATGATGAATTGAAAAGCAGCTGTGGAATATTTTATGGTACAAGCCCATTTATTGCCTCAATGGAATGAGGAAAACCAGAAAAGTAAGGTATCTCTTCTTCTAGCAGGACCTTTTGAACATGAAGCAGGTGTGCTAACCAGTACACCGTGATGTTAGGTAAATTCACTGTCATGTTAAACTTTGCAAACTGTATTTCTGACTATCTGTGTCACATAAGTATTTCTAAAACATGCCATTCTTAAGACATTTTGTAAAAATCTAATTTGGTCTTCATGCATAAAACCAAAATCAAACTTGCTTAACAATATTTTTGTACAGACCCCAGTATCAAATTTTATCAGAATCTACTGGCCAGTTTGAGAGTTTTATGTGTGAAAAGACAACCACCACCCTCATATTATGATTTCAATTATAAGCATGACATGCAAAGACATAAAAAATCAGAACAGAAGGTTAGAAAATTATGTACATAAATATGATAATATACATGTACTGAATGTATTAAATCTTTACCGTTGTGACTCATCAGAATTGACTAGTCCAGGGGTGTCCAGAAACACTAGCTGTGTGTCGCCTTCAATTCCAATTGCTCTTGCCTTGCACCTAGTAGTATGCACTTTGCTTGAAATAGAACAAACCTGTAAGGAAAAAGATTGAATATCACAGTTCCAAATAAAATAGTGAATCTGAGTATCTAATTGTGAGAAAAAGTTCAGGTGAAACATAAAATGTCAGGACAGAATATGAGACCACAAAGTGAAGAAATATTTCCTGAAGCATAATCAGGAGTCAAATTTTTTAAGTCCAATGTAGATTTATCCACGTTGCAATGACATTGTTTCACCGAAAGAGGTTATATAGCACTGGATGAGAGTAGAAGATGAACAGTGAATAAGTAAGGGTTTGGATGGCAGTGTCTGTAGCATATTAAAAGATAATATGCCAGCAATCATCTGAAAAGGCTTGGGAAACATTCAAAATCTTAAATGACTATAGGCAGTAATAATGGCAAGATTTAAACTGGGCACGTCTGAAGAGAATATATGGAGTTTGTGCTATGCGTGGCAAACTCCATAGCATTTGACTGAATTAGGATGTCTCGTACCATGTGTTTCTGATATTAAGAACCAATGGTGGAATTGATAATTGTTATGTAAAATGTTTCAGCAGTGTTTATACTTCTTAATAACATGGCCCAACTAAATTTCCATTTATTTTCTGTAACCCAAGTACATCATCAGCCTATTTGAAGTGTCAGTGTTTGTTCCTAACTTCCTTTCCACTGTTTTTTTTAAAAGGTAAATATTTTCCCACCAAATGACTGAAATTTTATGGTATTTAAACCAATCTTAAACCTCTACAAGATCTGAAGAATAAGAAAATTTTTAACAATATGGTAGTATTGAATAATGAAGACTAGTACGTGCCATATTTTTAAAGGTTGCAGTAGCTGTATACTGTTGTCTTCTGGATCTTCACAACCCGAAGACCAAAATCAATTAAGAACTACATATCCAGTGAAAGGTTAGGAAGGTTGGTTATGTTAGGTTTGTGTGAGATATAGTAACTGCAACTAAATAATTCTCAGTCATACATGGTCATTATATTGAAAAGTTTTTCTCGGTAATTCTACAAACCACATAAGTAAGGAAATGTTTGTCACTACTGCTTCTTAAATTATACAGACTTCGAAATACGATTGGGTAATATTTACCTTTCGTCCTATCAGCTTATTTATGACAGTACTTTTTCCAACATTTGGGACCCCAATTATAGCTATCTTCAGAAGCCGAGAATCGCGATATTCATTAAGTTTGCTAGAACATCCTGCATTCAACAATGATAAACCTCTTCCGTCAGCATCTGAGGAATCTTCGGATACACCACTAACAAACCTAACCTCAACTGCCTTCCATAAATTTGTATTATTACAAACCCGAACAGAACAAGGAAATATATTTTTACAAATATTAAACGACGATGTCAAATAATTAAACACGCGGAGGGCCATTTTATAATCAGCAAATCGAAAAAACACATATTACACTATGCACGCCTAAAAGCAGTCCACAGCCTATACCATACACAAATTTTTACGTAATCATATTCACAATTACATAGCTGTATTGAAGATTTTCTTTGAGGTTAAACCGACTTTGTTGCAAATAAATTCCTGTTATATTGTATTAAAATATTCCAAAGAACATAGGTTTCTAAAATAAAAGTTTTTGATTGACTGTGGTGCATGGTGGTGGTGGTGGTGGTAATCGTGAGCAAAAGAGAGAGACAGGAATAAATTGCGTTGCTATAGGAACGAAATGCTTGTTGTTATAACCACAAATATTGGCTTGTAATACTATTACCAGTTATACAAATATAATATTAAAAACTTTGTATAGGTAAAGTATATCATGGTAGTAACAACTGAGCAGTGACAATTACAAAATTGCAGTTATTGTTGTAACTGCATACTCACAAATATAATTAATTTCTGGTTTATTTAATGACACTGTCAGTACCTGTATATTAGCATCTATATGTACATATATAGTATTATAATCTTGTTAGTTTGTGAATATCACTGATATACTATTAGAAATTAACAGAATTATGCACTGTAATCCCAAATACTTTGCCCTGGCATGGGCCTGCTGGGCTGTTCACCTGTCAACATACCACCATTTCCTATGGCATGTGAAAAAATTGGTTAGATATGAAGGTATAACTGGTTGGTCAGTGAATGAGTTAGTC